TTTATTCTAACCTCATTTGATCCTTTACTTGAGCTCCATAATATATTTGTGGGATTCATATCGAAATGGACTAAAACCGGAGGAACATCTGAAAATTCATGTTTCTCTTTAAAAGTAACTAGCATCATGAGAAGATGAGTTATACTCGAGTACGATTTGAATCCAGCGACCAGGTGCGCCTGCACTACGAACTTTACAAAAGAAGTGATGAAAGCCTCCACCAATTTATAGTTTCCTGCCAACGAAATGATGAACCTATGACAATTGTATTGGTTGTCAATAATTACAACTGTCATTTATTAGCTATCAGCTGTCACTACAGGCTATATTTATCAGAATTTTTTGGAGGCCGTCGTCATTTGTGTTGTGAAGTCTGAAATGTGTCCCACCGTCGGATTGAAGCCAGTTATGGCGCAGCTACAATCTGACGGTTGGGACACATTTTCATAGAAGACAAGAAAGTTTCGACAGAATAAAGATAACAGGTTTCTTTATACTTAATACAAATCACCAACCAAATCAAACGTACCAAGCTCCTTGTACGAATAGTGTGCGGTTTGTCCATAATCGACGCTAAAGCATTCCTCCAATGCTTTTACTTTTCCCGCAAATTTTTCCGGGCAAATGTTTTCAAATTTGAGAGCAGATTCGAACTGAAACGTTATTACTGTTGAAAATTGAGTTTAAATGATCCTGATGCACATAGTAAGGATTTTTCGGAAGCGCAAGAAAACTCATACTATTCCGTGAAAGACAGTTTTTGTTCGCAGTGATATCTCTGCTGGAGCCGGCTACGGCGCTACCTCTGTGCTCTGGGAATTTTCGAACGATCTCGCTAAGGTCTTGAGGATCTCTTATTTTTCAGATATCACTCAGTGGCAGTAGACTATCTATGAAAAGAACAGGGATTTGTTCACAACGGAGGGAGCGGGTAGAATTCCAGACTGGATCCTGTTCGGATAAACCGACCATTCAATAAACCTAGTCGATTAGATGGTGCCAAACATGTACGAGGGGATAAAAACAGTGACTCTGCATCTGTTAGCCCTGCAGGTCCTTTTGTGAACTAAATACGCAGTAAAAACCAACAAGATAGAAATGGAAGTCGGTGCGTCGTAGAAATAAATTGCTCATCACTGAGAGGTTTCACTTCAATTCTATCTTTACCTACTGTTTTTCCCATATTTCCGACCCTAGCTTTGTGTTCGAGTTTTGCAACTTGTTTGAGCTTATAAGTTAGGGTGTCGGTCGGGACATGAGAGCCACCGTGACGCGCAAAAGCAAGGACCCAGCGCGAGACAGATTTTGGCGTCAGTTTGACAGTTGTGTAAACTGCGCTTTTACTGTGGTGTTCACGGTATTTTCACGATGGGAAGGGACTATTGGCCATCCTTCGCATACCTTCGTTATTAGTGTTTCAAACTAACGCAGATGTGGTTGGAAAAGGCTTTCCCGATAACCTAGTACTAGAGCAGTACTGATACTCGAAAAAATGTGGTAAAATCCAGGCTTCTTGGCAATTATCATGCTGATTGTCAATTTGTCCTCGCATCAGCAGCACATGTATGTACGTAGTAATGATAACAATGTAACACATTCACGACGACGCCCCTTTTCCACTTTTCGGTCGCGTGGGACGGACGCGATTTTGTGGGCGCCGCCGCCTCACCACATAACCGCAGATTTTGTTTTGTAAATGAACAAAAACATGAATGTCACAAAATAATTTCTGCAATGTCCAATGCGTAAAGATTATCTAAACATATAACAGTAGGATTTCGATCAGAACGACAAATAGTGGTTACGAAAAGAGAGCATTTATTCACTTTCCCCGTGAAGGAATTTAAAAGCATTTTACACTCGATTACGAGGTTTGCCCACCTATCTGTCCATTCCTAGCGCCTGGCAAGCGATTATCAGTTGGCAGCCCATATGGGCTGCCATCGTCCCAGGAGCGCATGTTGTTGGCAGCCCATATGGGCGGCCATCGGCGTGAATGTGTTAATAGGTAATGATAACAAACCTGAAGATCTTGGAATTCTGGATCGATCTCCGGTACTCGATCGAATTCGGTAACCCATGACTGATCCTTTTTCGATATAAAGTGGTAGTGGAAACCAGCCAGAGCATCCATCAATCTATCGATCTTAAAGGCAAACCTTTGATCGAATCGGTATGAACCTTGCATGGAAGTTTGGATTGGATATTGGAAGCTTCCTCTTTCTTGTAGGGTGGACGTGCTAGGAAGAAGACACGATAAGCGCCAAGGAGAGGGGCTAGACAAGAGAAGAGGTCTTTGGCATCCTCGTAGGATAGAGCGTTGCACAGCGAGAGCTGAGGAGGCAGCCGGCAGATCGAGTGACAAGGCCCTAGTGCCCTCGCCACCAGGGTCAACCCTACGTTGTTACGAGTAACAACGGGGGGGGGTCGTACCTGGTTGAGTTTGTAGGAGGGGGGGTCGTACCCACTTTAGTCGCTCGAAATCACGTGTGGGATTGAGGTGAAACTAAGATTTCGTGGGTAGTAGGCTGGGCGAGTGGAGGGCGCGCAGGATAAAAATTTGCCGTTTCAGCGGGCGTATATACCCCCCGCTCGACGGCATTTTTGGAGGAAAAAGTGGGCGGGGTTTTGATGGAAGATGGAGATGGTGGAGGTAGGGAAAAGGGGGTCGTATCAAATCCACCTTGGGGGAGGGGGGTCGTAAAAAATTTTGAAAAGTAACAACGATAGGACAGACCCTGCTCGCCACGCATTTTCGAACCGTGAGAACGGCACGTCTGTGACCTTTATAGACAGCTCTGTACCACCCACTCACAGGCCCTACTATTCAAAGGCAGCTTACACGACAAGCCGGTACCGTTGATATGTGAAAGTAGATTCCTCCAGCTGATTAAGAGGGTGGACGAGTTCACCGCTAATATGGAAGTCGTTCGGGTGAGATTAAACACTGCCTGCATGTCTTCTGCGATCAAGAGGCAGTTCGGTGACGGTCTCATTCCGAATACCTTACCGTTATCATTCCTTCCATGTGCTTCGGTGGGCGTGTCTGAGGAGCGCAGGGCCTTTGGGCGTACCTCATACCGATATGTTTTATCACGCCCCTAACTTTGCGCCTTCCTCCGCGAAAAAGAAACTGTTATCTACTCTACCTTGGACACCTGTAACTCCTCCACTGCCCATCCTCCTTTTCACGGTCATTCGTTTGATCGTTATTTTTGTCTTTAGAAGGATCGATTCATCCAAATATGGCAGATACGCCTCTAAAAACAGATCCCGCTTCAAATTTGTAACTATTCTGCTCGAATACGACAGTAAGAGTGAGGCGAGGACCATCATTGTAGAGAACGCAAAAGAAACTATTGAGGACTGGAAATGGCCCCTTTCTTATGCGGTCGATCGTAGTACGGACGAAGAGAAAGGAGAGCACTCCGCACGAAAGTGCGCAGACACCAGGCTGTTGCACAGTGAGCGATAGGAGCAGCGGTTGACACCAGCATTCGGGACTATTGGAAAGGTTGTATTGCCTTCATCGTGCACTTTCAAGCAGTTAGGATGGCACATCCTCTGTACTGATGGACCCTGCTATCCCACAGAATGAATTGTCCTAGAACTAATGGTGGTGTGCTTCTGAAGAAATGTCTTCCTAGTAATGTTCAACAATAGCTTCAACGTAGAAGGCGGCGATTCCAAAATGAAAAAAAGAACAATAGTCTGAACAGAACACAGATCCAAAGCCGTACCTGCTCTGGAGAAAATCCTGGAATCAAGTCCATAGCTTTGACACGTTCACTCAAATCTTCCATAATGATGATGCCGGTCCCTGACACCGTGACGGGTTCAGCAGCATAGAATTTAGGAAATGGGAAATACGGTATTGAATCGTTTCCATAACGTTCATACCATAAAACTTCAAACTAAAAACAGTTCATTTGAATTCCTGTCCTTCCACAATCATCCTATTTCCATACTATTAGTGGCAGAGTGTGTATGGGTCGCTGACTATGAACTACGCGCAAGTATAGCTTACGCGTCTCGCACGCGCAAAATCGATATCTGTCTACGGCACATGTACATAAATTGAGTTGTGGGAAAGCAACGTTCGCGGATTTTGCAAAAGGTAACGTAGGTCTTAGGTTGCATTAGATCTAACACCCTCCTTAGGGGTAGAAGGTACCTGTGTTAGTTTGACTAGGACTTCGGCGTCAGCGTCGTTGTCAGCAGAAACGGCTTCCAACCCATTTTTGTCCGTATTTTTCACATTGTCGGAAATGTGCGGAATCTGCAAATCAAGTACACTTATCAAAGGCTGGAAATTTTGAAACAGTGATTGATTGTTAAACTCACATACACACATACACATTTATAAGATATTTATAAATATTAGTTTTCCTTAGACAATCCCGACGGAGCCTTTGCTCTGGCGCCGGCCAGAGCCAAGCCTCCATCAGGATTTTCCCGATGAAGCTATGGTTTCGTGATTCACTAGAAAGAAATCGTATTACGAGAAGAGCGGTCCTATTTTATAGATAAAAAAAACTGATGACTTTCGGAGAAATTCGGAAGGTTTTGCCGTTTAAACATTTATATACTCATCCCTAACCTTCCGGTCAAGACCTACGCACTTTTGGAGGTTTGAGAGTGGAGTTTCGAAGTTTGTTAAGATGAATTGAATTCACTGGCATCATGTGCACCATCAACCGTTGGAAGGGGTCGTGTTGAGGATACCCTTAAGAGGGGAGGAGTTGGAGATGAGTGAGGAATCGTTCACTTTCCATTTTTTGTTGGTAATTGGGACCGTTGACCCTGCCTCCAACCACTGGGCAGTGGTAGTGTGATCAGCTAAAAACTAAAAAAAAAACTGTGAAATAGGAAGGAACTGTTGCACAAGCGTGGTCTGCTCTGGAATAATAATGCAGTGACAAATAATAATAATAAAACAATAATAATGATAATAAAAATAATGAAAAGGAATAATAATGATAATAATAATGGAATGCTTCGTGAAGACCTTCCAAATGCCTAAAAAGTTACCTTAACGAAAATGGTTGTTGGATACTTTGATGACAGTTGTTCATCCTTCCAATGGAGGAATACGCGTACGATTTTTGACCAAAAACTCTTCTTATTTGACTGAATGCTCAGGGAGTAGCTGACGAGCTGATCAAAGTCGTTCACATTGGAGAAACACTGTCGGATAAGTGCGTCCACACGAGCCTTCTCGTCCATAGTCATGGCAACACCGTTTTCCATCGCAGAAATGAAGCCGATATCGATCAGAATTATTTTCCAAGTGTCTCTTTTCGCAGTATTGCTTCACTAGGATTCTGAAATGTAAATGTAAACAATGTAAACAACTAATTGAATCCGAGAATTTCATGAAAGAGAGACTAAAGTTCCGAAGCGTCTGAAGAACTAATGAAGAAAGAAAACGCACTTAGTGTCGGCTAGTCCTCGTAATGGTAGCTCAAGTAGCCAAATTCCCCGAAATTCACACTTTGGTTTGTCTTCGAGAAGGGCTCAATCACGAACAAATTACATATGACTTGTAAATTTGTGCCTCAATCCAATGTTCCAAATTGAAACGGTGTGTTTTTTCTCACTCTTTTTTTGACAAGAAACCGTTTTGCATACTAAATTAACCGTAATTTTTTATTTACATTTACATCAAATTTTTACATTTGAATTTTTTATTACTCATGAAACTGGCTGGCTCCATTCAGAGCTGACGAGAAACCACTCTCGGACTTCAAGAAAGGAAATCGTCGCAATAACAACGACGATGTGATGAGGGCGAGACTTTGGGCAAAGCTACATGTGGTGACAGTGTTCCAAAATCCTCTTTAAAAAGCTGAAGAGGGAGGCAATTCTTGAGTTTCTGTTAGGAGCAAGCGCCATTGTGCGGTAGTAGCATCAGATTCAGAAGCTCAGTAATTGAATCCCCGCAAAATTTAGCACCTCAATAAAAATTGTTTGCCATTTGCTCACAGGCAAAGGTCACGATGGCCGTAGGGCGGAAACGACGTCGTTAACCCATTCGCGACCGCGCAGGATTGCGCAATAGCAGCAGAGTCAGGAGATTTTTCTTCAATAAAATTCGAGTGGAGGGAGATTTCCTCTGCCCAGGGCTGGCGTAGATGAGCGAGGGTATGAAGATTCTTTTCATGGAAGAAAACTTTCCAAATTCCATTTGAAGCCCTGCAGCCACAGTAATGCCATTGTCCCGAGTGAGATCTTTGTCAGCCACCGGTGGCTGACATTGTCACGAATGGGTTAAACGTCATTGGTGGAATGAACCTCTACGTGTGCCGGAGGCCGTGGTTGGAACCGCCTCTTAACACCCTTTCACCAATGACGTTCAGTGACGTCATCAGAACCGCACCGCCCATCTGTCATCATGATTATTGCCTATAGCAACAAAAATGTGTGGCGGAATCAACTGGAGTAAGCTCATTTTTTGTCTGTTGCGTCACCTTTTTGCTAGTTCTCGGAATGCCTTTTTTTCTTCGCAAACCATACTTGCAGGAAAAAAAACATGACGAAAAAACAGATAAGCACTAAGACACAACAGGCAAACTACTGACCTCCCTGCGCTCGCTTCGGTTGAATCTTCTGGAAGAGACGGTTCGATTTTCGCAAAAGTATCGTGCAAGACACAGAAGAAGTATTGCACCCTGGAACCTGGATCCTGGGTGACACTGCTAACCGCTAAGTAGCTTCGGCCCGACTCTTACAGTCTGACTGCTTGATAATCGTCATTTTATGAGACGATTTGCCCTTTCCAAGGTCCGAAAGCGGTTTTCCTAATCTCATCACATTAAAAAGGTAACGACAATCATGCACTTTTACTGAGCAAAGATGATAATGAAACAGTTTCATTGAGCAAAAGTGGAACGCAAGGGTAAAAACATGCGCTTGAACTATGACTTTTGGGAGGTAGGCAGAGAGACTTTCTTCGAAAAACGAGGAAAAAGGGGAGAATAGATCTTGCTAAGAGATTGGGAAGAGCGGAGAGTGAGAAGCTTATAACAATTCATTACGCGAAAGTGTTAGTATTCGGGAATCAGTAGATAGAACATCAGTATGGGAAGCGCTGTACATACAGCAGTGTGTAAAAATGAATGTAGCTTTGTTTTTCTTTTGAATCAAAATTTGGCCATTTTTTATGGCCCCTAATTCCTGTTTCAGTGTTTTACAGATGTAGGCGTTCTTTATTTAACTGGCAAATCCTTGTCGACTTTAAGGACTACTGGTGATTCAAAGAACCATTTTAGTGAAAATTTGACTGACAAAATTGAATCAAATAATTTTAAAGCACTTATAATGTTGAATTTTCGCTGCTTATTATAGCCATTGATCGGCGGTTGGGTGAAGAAATCTTCTCCGAAGGGAATATTAAAATTTCAACAATATCTAAGGATTACTAAAATTTAGCCAAAAAACTATACCCGCTTATAATTGGTCCGCTACTATAGTTTCTATTAAGTGAAGAACACTTGCATGATATTTTAATTATGCCGGAAATCCGCAATAGACAAGTAAAAATAAAGATAAAAATGGGCTACGAATATTCAACGCCACGCCACCCGACAACAATGCCTCTTGTTGTGTTTACCACTTTTATGTGACATCGACACACCGTCACAAACATGCTTGTTTACAGATTCGGATTTTCACTAATGTGCATACTCCTAGCATTTTCCAGTAACTTCTAAACAGAGCCCATCTAGCAGTAACTTCCAAAAGAGCGACCTGCTAGTAGCAGCAACACAATTATTTACGGGGAATCACGGCCACAGAGCCAGGGTCAGTCCTATCGTTGCTACTTTTTGAAAAGTTTTTACGACCCCCCTCCTTCAGGAAAAGTTTCCTACGACCCCCTTTCCGACCAATTTTTACCCCAAAAAATTACCGTCGAGCGGGGGGGGCCTTAAAACCGCAAAAATTCCCTATATTTCCTTATACGCGCGCTGAAACGGCAAATTTTCTCCCGCGCCGCTCCCCACTCATCACATGCAACTTCTTACAACCGAAGCAAGTACGACCCCCCCTACAAACTCATCAAAATACGACCCCCCGTTGCTACTTGTAGCAACATAGGGTTGACCCTGCACAGAGCCCTAAGCAACACCAACCATGGGAATCCTCTGCCAAAGCAATCTGTTTGCAATTTCTCGCGCGGGAGTGGTCACCTTTGGTATGTAATATATTCATGGAAGAACTGGAGAGAGGGCAATTTTGGAAGGAAGGACAATTTCTTATGAAACTCCAGGGAAGTCGAAAAATTTCGAAAATCCTATCATTTCTGCCCCTTCGTTACAGGTATACCCGCCCCCGTCCTGGCCCAGAACAATCTTTTGAATCTGAAATTTTGAGATTTAAGCTTTCAGATAGAATTACCATTGAAAGGCTCGGACGGGGATTGCGCCTGAATCGGTCAGGGATTTGAAAGAAATAGTGTGGACCCCAGAATTTATCTAACGCATATAGGGCTCGGCCAGTTTAACGATTCTGATGAATACATAGCCAGCTTCTGCCTTTTTGAAACGTCCCCTTACCTTTCCGGCAAAGCGACTTATCCAACTCCTGAAGGAATTACGCATAGAATGGTGACAGATTCTTAGTTAGTATGAATACATTGGCATGATCTTAGCGCTTCCACGACATGACGTCATTTTTAGGATTTAAATAGTGGGCAGAGAGTCTTTCCTTATATTGGCATGTTTTGTGTAATTTTGTACAGCAATTCCAGATATACAATGATATTGAAACTTCAAAAGAAATGAGGTGGTCTTCGAAGTGCAAATAAAAACCAGGACTCAGAAGACGCTTATCCATTGCAATAAGAGCTGAGCAAACATAAAGGTACAATTAAACGGCTAGCTGTACCTTAGCGCCCGGTTCCAATGCTCACATTGGCTGTGTAGCGCTAACAAAGCACTCGTAGTGGATTGCAAGAGTTCAAATGCTCACATGAAAGTGCAATTAGTAGTGATGGTCAAACGGTTGATCACATGAGCACTACCTCTAATAAGATTAGGTCGTTAAGAAGGCTCTCGCTGTTTTTGACCTCAATTTTCAAGTGCTTGTGTACCTCGTCTCAAACGAGATTTCTTCGATCAAATTTTAAAAAAAAGTTCAATCTACAAACCTTTGCCATTTATGAATGATTTGACCCTTGCGGACGGACCGCCGATGAGTGCACCTCTGTGGATTTTTTTTATTTATTTTATCGTTATAACCAATAATGTAGCGTAATTTGAGCATATGTTATAATCTCTGTGCTTCTAAAAGCTTATTGATAGTTTTTTTTAAGAAAAATTAGAGATAACAATCCCTTCTATAAGGTGGTAAGCTGCACATTGTGCAGCACGGGGTCCGATGTAGTTACTCGGGTTGCCTAGACTGCTCGGGCACGGCACGCGATGAACTTGATGAAGGTGATTTCAGCACCGTGATGGGTTTCGAGCAAAGCCAACCGTCATGTTCGCACTTTCTCAAAAATTTTGTGACCCCCCACTCCTTTAGGGGGTCTCGATGCGACCCATTCCCCCCCCCACACCCACACACAAACACACCACCACCATCATGACACTTAGGAGGCTCCCTCATTACGATTGTCCTTCCCCCTTCTCCGGGCGTCACCCTCATCATCATGGCAGTTTCTATAATTGCTTCTATAGTATTTGTTCCTGGACCAGTCGACACGGCCCAACTCTGCACACTTTGTTCTCCAAAACGACCGTCCTCGAATGGGGAGGGGGGTTACTTCACCAAAACCCCTTCTAAATACAACCTCTTTGTCAAAACCCCTTCTGAATACAACCTCTTCCAACAACCTTCGTTCGCACTTCATCGAGGATCATTCACTCAAATGCGGCCCCCCTTTCCGAAATCACAAATGCTACTCACTCGTTCGAATGTTTGTGAGTGGATGGTTGACCCTGTTTCCAAGTACTTCTTCTAAGGCTACCCAGATCGTTTCAAAGTGCCACTTGGTAGGTTAGAGGTCTAGCGAATAACTTGCAGAGCTTCGTAGCTCGGCTTGTTCAACTCCTATAAAGTTGGATGTCCGATATGGTGCTGAGCGTGAAAAGACTTGGCGACACCTACCTGTCGATTTCTTTAGGCTTTTTATCCTCATATGCGTATGGGTGTATCCCATGTTGGTGACTATCAGAATTTCGTCTGATCTACCGAAGCGCTCCTCAACAGTTCCTAGCCGACGTGGCTTGATTGAAACCTTCAGCTCA